TGGTTTTGGAGACAGGGTTTCTCTGTGTAGCCCGGGCTGTCCTGGAACTTGCTCTGTAGAGCAGTCTGGCCTCGAACTCAGAGATCCGCCACCCCTGCGTCCTGAGTGCACCACCATTACCCAGTCACATTTCTGTGCTTTACCTTGTGACGTGTTGAGTTTAATCAGGGCCATCTGTGCTACAGTGGGCTTTGAACTGTCCGTTGGAGCCTGGTGGGCTCACCTGTGGGAACACTAGGGAAGAAGACAATGGTGTCTCTCCCTGAGAGTTGCCAGGCAGCAGGGTGGGTTGTGGTTTTGTGTGCCCGCCCCCTGACCTATGTGTCTTCCTCTGTGGTCTATGATTGATGACAGGCGTGGCTGGAGCAAGGCCCAGTGCAAACATTTCTAAATGCGGTGATGGCTGATGGGTGAGTTATGACTTATCTGAAATTTGTTTATACTGTGTTTTATTACAGTCTCCTCAGTATCATGAGAACAGCGTACAATTCTGAGCACATGGCTGCAGAGAGTGATGTTTGTTAACGTTGACATACATCCATTGTATGTGTAAAGAAACCACATGTAAGGAACACAGAAAACGGAGATGGGAATTTTGAATGCTTACACAGAACCTAAGCTTTAAGTGTGCTTTCTCATCGGACCTTCTCTGATGACATATTCTAAAACACCTTTCTCAAACATTATTATTATTATTTTTTATTATCTTATCACTTCACTTGTCAATTCTTTAAACAGAAGTTGGGTTTGAACCATGTTGGTGCTGTGTGACGGGTACAACTCCTGGACATGCTGAATCCCAATTAGTTTTGTGGAGCACCCTGCTAGAAGTACTCACGCTCTGGGCCCAGGCACATTATAAGAAATTGCATAGGGTGAAGGGGAGGGAAGGACGATGGCATCCTGAGAACATGGGGCAGGAGGAAAATCAGGCTGGCATGCTCTGCCACTGACAGCATTTCCTGGGACTGCACCATGGACCTGGGGATTTCTGTCAGGTTTTGGAGGATACCTCAGAGCTCACGCAACACACACACACACACACACACACACACACACACACACACACACACAAAGCAGAGCTGAACGGTTCAGGAGCTCAGGGATGAGGACAGTGTGTGCACATTTCCCTGTGGCTCACATCTACTGAGGTCCCGCATCTTCTAGCAGCAGAGCCAAAATTGCTACCTAAAAGACCATGGAAAAATTTTGGTCGCAAAATTGGGAACAGTTGTTTCTCCTGGGAATGCTTGCTTGTTTGGGTTTAGGATATAATTAATCATGAGTCAATGAAAGCAGTTCCCTTTCAAACTGTTCATTAAATAAAATCTGTTTCTATCGCAGCCACCGGAAAGGGTCCCGTAGCATCCATCTGTACCCTAACGGCCCTCCTCCTCCCTTTCATTTCCTCATTTCAGTCCTGCCATGCTTTCCTTTCCTTGTGGTCCATCTGGGACAGGGGATGTTATCAACAGTCGCCGGTTTATAAAGACACAGAGAGCTTAGAAATAATCCAGTTCTATCGGGCACATTTCACAGATGAGAAACTCCAGATCCCAGTGGCTGTCGTTTCAAAGTCTGCAAGGCAGGGATCCTAAGAGGAGTTTATGATGTTTAGTTAGCGTACGGTTGCCTCCATGTCAAGAGACTCTCTTTTCTCTCTCGTCCCTAAGATGGCCCCGTCCAGGAGATGCCGATAAACACTTATCCCCACCAGAAAGAGACTCTCCAGCCAATGCCTTATTTCAGAGAGTCACAAGAAAATTCTGAGAACTCTTCAAACAAGTGAATCAACTTAATCCTCTCTTAACTTATATCTGCAAAGCGTATCTGTTTATAGATTAAAAACCTCTCTCTTTTCCTTCGGGGAATTGCATTGAGTTTCTCTCCATTTAGTTTGATGCTGGCTGCTGGGTTGCTTTTATTATGTTTAGGTATGCTCCTGTTATCCCTGATCTCTCCAATACCTTTATCAAGCCCGGATTCTACAGCTGTTGTTGGGTGGCAGTGCTGACTCTGCTCTTGCCACCCTGACTCTTAGACTCTCTGAACTTCTGTTTCATCTTCAGTAAAATGGGTATCCTAATAATCAAATGCGGTAGCTATGCAGATAGAAGTTTAGGACCTCAGTGCTCACCCTGCCCCATGGTGTGGCCCTTTCCTGGAGCCACGACGTGTCTGTTACAGGAAAATGCACCATTCAGACTTTGTTGTATCTTCCCTTCATACCCACATCTGTTCACAGTGGACAAGGATGACTTACACCAATGGTCACACAAGACCCTTAGTCTCCCCCGTTTAAGACAAGTGTAGCTAGCCAGTTTATACTGGTTTCTTTTGGGTGCCATGGATGCCAGCGTGATGGGCCACCAGACTCTCTGTAGACAACCTTGCTATCCAAGGAGCACCTCCACAGACCTCCTGACAAAGGCAGAAGCAGCTGGCGCAGCTCTCTAAGAGTCCTGGATAATGGCATACATCATGCCCACAGCAGTCCTTTACTCAATTGTTACAAATAACAACATTTATATTTAAAGCAGGTAAACTAAATGTATCAACTGGGAACAAGGGAGTTACTTTTCTTGGTCTCTTTGTTTCTAGGCCCCAAACCCTGTCACACTAATGCACTCCTTTATTTTTTTTTTTTGTCTAAGTTTATGTATTATCATCATTATTATTTATTACCGTGGTGTGTAGTTCTAAGGATTAAATGTAGGGTCCTCAGGTACACGAGACATTTATGCTATCACAGAGCTTCAGCTCCTGCCCTCATTCTATATATCATAACCACAAAATAAAAAACAAATATTTAAAAACACATCTTTAAACTAATTCTGGCAAGTCTGAAAACAAGAAAACAAATAATTTGCATGAGTCCTGTCACCGGCAGTCAAGTAAAAGATGGGCCTTAGCTGCGTAAGATGAATCTTTACATAGGCGACCTCAAAAAGTCCTGGAGGACTGGCAGTGCCCTGAGGACCCAGCACTATGAGAACTGCACATTTAGAGGTCTCCTGACTTAAAACATGCAGTAGCTGGGGATTATTTCAAGGGGGGCACTCTTCTAGATATAAGGCAAGTCTGGGGGATGAGGAACAATCATTGCAAGCTTGAGGACAAGCTCTAAGTTTGGGCCTGGCCTCAGCTCAAGTCTGTATTTCTACCCCAGCAGGGTCCAGTCCAGACTGCAGAGACATGGACCATTCCCTTCTACTCTTGGCGCCTTCACAGTTTTGAGTACTGTGTGTGTGTAGTATGTATGTGTGTGCGTGTGTGTGCGTGCGTGCGTGTGTGCGTGCGTGCGTGCGTGTGTGCGTGCGTGTGCGCGTGCGTGCGTGCGTGCGTGTGTGCGTGCATGCGTGCGTGCGTGTGTGTGTGCGTGCGTGCGTGTGTGTGCGTGCGTGTGTGGAGGGGGGGCACCCTCGCCATGCATCTCTTACTCTCTGCTCACCTTTAAGTGTGCATTCTCTCTTATACTGGGGGCACATGATTGTTTCCACAAGCTTCAGGGTAACATTACTGGCAACGATGTACAAGGGGGCAGCGTCAAAGGCTGTCTGGAACATGCTGGATGTGTCTCTAAGTTTCTATGACTGCAGTTCTCGAAGCTGCAGTGTTGAGGTGGGCCCACTCCCCCGCCCCCCACCCGTAAGAACCTTTCCGCGTAATCCATGCATAATGCAGTGTGAAGAAAGGGACCAAGGAAAACGTTTCTCCAAACTATAACTCGCATCTTGGTAATGAGGAGCTATTAAAATATACTTTAAAAAAGAAAAACCCCTAAGCTGATGTGTTTCTTAGAATTCTGAGGTTTCCCACTGCTCTGCTATTTTCCCATTCCGTACGCACGGCAGAGATTGCTGCCAAGACTACTACAGTGAGCAAACAATGTCTTCTCTGTCAGGGCAGGGAGTCAATAGTATCACAAAATTCTCCTCTAATGTACAGCCTGCACTCCCCCACAAGCCAGAGGAGACCAGCCAGGGGTGGGAGAGGGGGAGGGGGAGGGGGAGGACAGAGCAGGGCTCTCCCCTGGCCAATCTGAAGCTGCTTTCCAGAGCACCAGGGGAGGACCATCTAACCAGAGAAAGCTGACAAGCAGATTTTTATTCTGGTTGTATATTGTTTCATCCCTGGGATATGAGCACACAGAGACTTTTGTAAGGAAAAAGAAGGAAGTGCTTCGTCATGCAAAAACCTCAGGGCTTGGTGAAAAATAGCCTTTTGCTACAAACTAAACAGCAACAGAGGAACTTGGTAGAAGTTTGTGTTAAGACACTAGGAGCTGAGTCACAAGCCACAAAGCGAGTATGGGCTCTATCGCTTCCCAAGCTTAGCCTTGGCGTCTGTTGGCTAAGCTCTTGATTCATAGAGGAAGAGCCTGGAGCTATCTACGCCCCTGGGTACATAAGACAAGGCTGGCCCACTCCTCTAGGGTCTCAAGGGCTGTCTATGTGTCCCCCCACAGCTTCCCTGTAGAAGCGGAATAAGGACATGATCTTCCAAAATGAGGCATGCAGAAAGCATTTTGCATGGATCAATGAAAGGCTTACTCGGTGTGCGTTTGCAGAAAAGAACAGAGATTTCTTAAAACTTATTTGTTGTCTTAGCTGGCGCAAAGTATAACGGTCTAAGACCCCCCCCCCCGCCCCATGGTATGTACAGAACATACTTTATTATTTGACCTTTAATCAGAATCACTCAACTCTTTCATCATAAAGGAATGGATGCTATTTTCAGTCTAAACACAGCCTGCTTTCTTCCCTCTTTTCCCACACACTTGCTGACCGGTGCCATGATCTCCCAGGGCGAGAGGCTGTTCTCTGGGTGACACATTTAGCAAGGCCGCAGGAAGCAGCGACAGCCTCCCTTTCTTCTCTCCCTCCCCCCCCCCCTTCACTCACAAAGTCCTAGTCTGCCCCAGGCTAGACAATCAAACCTCTGTGCAGTTCTACTGCCGTCTGAAAATGCTCCCTTCTTCCCACAACGGCAATATTTACCTTGGAGAAGTGGTTGTCCAAAAGAGGATTTCTAAGTTCTGGTAATGTGTTCCCGTTCCGATGAGGCTATAGGAGATTCCCTCTCCTTTCTTGGCCTGCAACCAAAAAGAAAAGAAAGAATGTTGGGGGGCAGGGAAGGCATGACGGCAGGCTGTGAAAGACACTTGCCAGCTTACTGTAAAAACCCTGGCCTGTTTTACCAGACATGGAGCTTTGCGTTCCTCTCCAAAGGCATTCAACTTCTAAGCAGGCAAAAGCCACCTACAGCAGGAAACATCTATGACTTTTCCCCCTCTGAAATAACAGCCACACTATAAATCAATTTACTTGTTTTTTTTTTTCCCTCAAAGTCTTCCCAGTTTGTGACAGTAAATCTGTAGGTTACTGTAGTACAATTAACATCAAGTGGCTGTTATCGACATCTGTGATAGAACACAGGATTTACACGAAAGGAACACTCATACTTTTTGGCATGGTGAGCTGTGACTCGATTCTGAAAGTTTCTGACCGAAAGGAAGCTGTGGTGGTGTGGCGTGGACATTGAGACCCCCAAGGGCTCGAGGATCTAATCCTTCATCATGCCCATGCATGAGAAGGATGTTCAGAATTGGGGACAACTCCCAGGACACGCCACCAAGCATCCCCACTCATGGGCTCCCACATCCTGGAGCGGGTCTTGTCTACTTCTGCCCAGCCCTTCTTCCCCCTCTGCTTCACTTGGGTACTCAGTGTCTAGTTTTATCTTTTAAGATATTTACTTCTGTGTATGCCTGGGCATCTCTGTATCATGCGGGCGGGGGCCCAGGGGAGGCAGGGGGAAGTGTTGGGGCCCCTTGAGCTGGAGTCACAGGAAGTTTTGAGGATGAGTTGCCTCTCTGGCACTTAATTCCCAGGGTGCGGAGGGAGGGGGGTGGACAGGGACAGAATGAGAATGTTCTAATGAGGCTACTGTGGCTATTGACTAACTTGATTATTTTTAACAGACTGAGGTACAGATTCTCTTTCTTTCTTTCTTTCTTTCTTTCTTTCTTTCTTTCTTTCTTTCTTTCTTTCTTTCTGACACTCAGTCGTTGAACATGAGCCGCCCAGATCTGCGCTAGCTGTTGTCCTTTTGATATATCATAATTTCTGAGTGTTGCTTTGTTCTGCTGCAGAATTGGCCCATTATTTATGTTGCATTAAGGTGCCACTATTCTTTGCCCGCCAGTTGTCAAGTGAGAAAGGCTGCCTTTTGTTTGCCAGTGCATTCAGCCATGTTATTATTATTGTTATTTTATTTCTAAACTAAATCTAAAAAGACCAGAGCAAGAAGCACAATCATGGGCTGTCTTCCTCCAGCCCACCTCCAGGTCTCTCTGTGTCAATCACACAAAGTGGGAGGGACAGGGCTGCACTCCACAAGCACTCCTGGGCTAAGTGAGTTGCGGACATTGTTCTACTCTCTCATTAGCTTCCAGGTCCAATCTCCTCCCAGGATCCCGCCATGCACACGTATCTAGATGCAGATTCTAACCACCTCCTGGTTTCTCTGTGTCGACGCGCCGGCTCAGAAAACTCTTAAATTAGTCAGAAAGATGAGCAAGATTAAGTATCCAAGTCCAGTGGTTTCAGGTCAGGGTTGTTTTTTTTTTGTTTTGTTTTGTTTTAAAATGTGAAATTCTGCCCATGCATATCAGAAATAGTCCTTCAGGGCTGGTGATGCAGCTTGTGAGTTTGTGGTAGAGGACTATGTAGAATGTTCAACGGTCTAGGTTTTAACCCCTAGTATCACACACAAAATCAGTTTTAAAAAATGCATTTTTCTGTTACTAGCTGGGAATGAAGAGTTTGACTTAAAAACCGAACAGTCTAGAGTGTGGATAATTTTGCATTGTCAAAATAGCTAGAGCACGAGTTAGAATTATTCCAGACAGAGACAGAGACTGAGGTGCCATCACAAAGGCAGAAAGACGTACAGATTCAGTGGGTTAAGATTTACCACCTATGCAATCCATACACTTACACTTTGTTATTTACACCGTCAATTGCCTTTTAACAGAAGAGCCAAGGCTGGTCAATGGAGAAAGAAAAATCACGGTAGCAAACAGTCCCGGAGCAGGTAGCAGCCACAGATGAAAGAAGAGAGTGGGATCCTGAGCTCGCACGATATTAAAGCTAAGTTGAAATGAGAAATGTAAGAGGTGAAAACACAAAAACTACTAAGAAAGAAAACACAGGTAAATCTCCATGAGATCGGATCTGGCCAGAGGAGCTACTGATACAATGGCAAGTGTACAATCAACAAAATATAAAATAAAAAGTTGTGAGCCTTGGAGAACACTATGCATAATAAAGATGACATCCAAAAGAAGAGAAATAGGTGTAAGCAAGGCATTTGGTTAAAGGATTGCAGTAAGATTTATATATATATATATATCTTAAGACGCAATAAGATATCCAAACCCCAAATGAGCAAAGAGTCTGAATAGGCATTTCTCCAGCAGAAGTTATGAAAGGACACAGATGGTCAATGTCATCATCAAAGAAATGCAAGGGTAAACTACAATGAGATGCTGTCTCACACCCTCGAGCTAAAAGAGTAATGTGTGCTGGCAGGATATGGGGAAATCTGAACCTGCAGACCCTCTGCTAAGGGTGCAAGATGGTCATCCACTTCCCAAATAGTCTACAAGTTCTCCGAAAGTGTTAACCATGAGCTATCACCTCATCCAACAGTTCTACTCCCAAGTATACACAAAGACAAGCAAAAACAGAAGTCCACACAAAGGTTGTACATAAATAAAGGTTCCCAGCAACATGATACATAATAGCCAAAACCCAGAACAGTTGATGTGTCCATCAACTGGTGAACAGAAACAAAAATGGCAAATTCTTACAGAGTATTGGTCACAATATAGAATGGAATGTCATATCCACACAGGTTTGCCACAGATGTACTTTGAACACATGGTAAGGGGAAGAAGCAACCCTGAATATTATGGGATCCAACTGATAAGAAATGTCCAGAAAAGCCAGGCGGTGGTGGTGCACGCCTTTAATCTCAGCACTTGCGAGGCAGATGCAGGTGGATCTCTATGAGTTCTGAGACCAGCCTGGTCTACAAAGCTACACAGAGAAACCCTGTCTTGAAAAAAGAAAAACCCCAAACACTCCAAAAACCAAAACAAACCAAAAACCCATGAAATGTCCAAAATAAATGAAGCTAGATGCAGAATTAAAGGACTGTTGGCCGTTTGTTACGTAGCCGTCTCTCACGGTTTAACGCAGCAGCGTACAGAGCTTCACCCAGACAGGCTTAATGTTGACTAAGACAGGATTTAGGATAAAACTCCAAGAGCCTCTCTCCAGGAAGACAGCAATTTATAAATCAGCTCCCCTGGGATATGCCTACTAAATCAGCTATTAATCCAGTTAATTATACACATCCCCAATTTGTCAAAATGATGAATGTCAGCTATTTGATAGATTTTTTTTTTTTTTTTGGTATAGAAAAACCCATAGACTAATGCATACTACTTCCCATCAGTCTGTTGGCATTTTGTGATGGGTTTAACAAATGAACAATAAATTAGAGATCTCCCTCTATTTTAGACAGAACACACACTTCTGTCCACCCAGTGCCAATACTCAGTCCTTCTCAGTCGTTAGACCCTAAGTCTAACTACTCAGTGGTTCAGCAATACAGGGACAGCTACAAAGTAACAGGCTGCCCACGGCTGTGCAGTGTGGAGAACCCAATGTTGCACTCCTGTATTCCAGGGTTCTCGCAAGCTCCTGGCACTGCCCACCCTCCCTCACTAAGCCTTTCCTGACTCCCCCTCGGCTCTCCCAGCTGCTCCTCTCTCCCAGAGCCCCAGCCCTGCTGGCCACAAGCTCAGCTTCCCTGCCAGTGACTGCATTAACAGTTGCCTGTCTTCAAGCCGTCATCTGATGTTCCTGCTTCATTGTTCCTGCACTCAGACGGCTGAAATCCCTGATGTATGCAGGGTGGCAGTCCATTAAGACCAAGGGGCTTTCGTGTTGTATTTTCCTTGTTGCAAACGGAAAAATGGACGAGGGAAGGAAGGGTACTTGACAGAGGCCACCATGAAGATAAGATGGCTTACGAATGCCAGGGTGTTCTTTTTAAAATCATCAAAAAGATTAAAAGGACAGCAGTGGAGAAGTAGTTCCTTCTGGAAATCCTCTCGAAAGGTTCAGTTTAATAAAATAATCTCTCCAAGAATAATACCTTTCTTGAATTTTTTGGGAGTTGATGATAAGAATCGTTGAATATACATTTTTATATTATCGACAGTCTCCAGACCCAGGGAAGAAAGGTACCAACCAAGTGCCAATGTCTAGTTGTAAACAATTGGCATTATTATTTTTTTTTTTTTAAGCAAAAGCTTTCTATTTATAAGCCTGTTACTGGGAAAGAGGTAAAATGACACATTAATACGAACCTTATCTGTAAGCATGGATCTACCACAAGTGTGGCTTGGCAATGAATCCCTCGCAGTTTTATTGCTAGGAGAGAAATAATGGAAGTGACAGGGTGCTTCACAGGAAAACAGTCTTCCTGGCTGGCGAAGAGCAGCCTCGGTTTTAAGATGCAAATGTGCACATTCGGGGACAGTTCTACAGCATGCTTCTTAGGTGTCTGAACAGAAAGCAAGTAGCACAGACGACCCGCATGAGAACAGACACTAGTTTCTCAGACATTACATGCTGCTTTGGAGAAAAAGATGTAAAATGTTTCTGCTCATCACTAGTTTATAAGCTGGTAGCACAAGAAATATTTAAGCACATTCTCCAGGTAAGCATGGTGGCACAGGCTAACACCAGGAGGCTGAGGCAAGAGGATGAGAAGTTCAAGGCCACTCTGGGACACATAATAAAGTCTGACCCCTCACCCCAATTTAAAAGAATACTCTTCCAGACCATGCGAATACACAAGCACGCACCAGTAACAAAAGCATCGTGAAAGTAGCTTTTTTTTTTATTCAGTTTCTTCATTCAGCTGTCAAGTTTGTGATCTTTCATACGGATATAAAATTCCTCTATTTCCCAGCCCCGCCCACTCCATGCAGAAGCATCTCTCTGCATGGAGGAT